GGTGTGGACTTATCTTACATCAAAGGAGACGACACCAGCGCCTGCGCTTCCCTGGTCATTCTCAGCTACCCGGCTCTTGAGGTAACGGCAAGTCAACAACTTCACTTCTTAGGGTTGTGTCCAGCTGTGCGATAACGTGAGGTTTTTAATAGAAGACTTACACAAAGGCCATTATCTACTGCGCCCCTGCCTCACAGGACATCAGTAAGTTATCACGTGTATATTCAACAAAGCCTCCAACCATATGTTCTGCAAGAAAGATAAACAGAGAAAAAAGCACGTGTAAGGATTTAGACATAAGTTTGGGAAGATGCGATGCAAACTAGTCCTAATTGTGAGAGGTTTGTAGGATTACTGGGAATTTATGAGGCGTTGAGGGATAGGTTTAGTATGCATTGAAGTTAGTTGGTAAATCAAAAAATGCCGTGATGAGATGTAGTCCATGGTCAGGCACAGAAGTCTGTAACTGGTTTAGGTGTATATTGAATAGAATCAGTCTCAGCCACTAACCAGAAGGAGACAAAAAGGACCATTGTTACTCAGTGCCGATGAAGAGAGGAAATTAAAGCATTTGCAGCACTCAAACAGCAGATGTCTTGTTTGTCAGTTCTTGCTGGGAATCAGGTAGTAATGTGGGATGTAACATAAAAAAGCCTTTTCAAAACCACCATGAATCCCACATCCCACAGTCATTTTACTTGAATTAATAAAGATTTTTAGTCTCTTTCCCAGCTTTCAAAACGATGTAAAAATTATCTTTTAACTGTAAAACCTACAACAAACAGAGAAATAAAAGTTTGATACAGGCCGCTGGGATTTTTATGAACAGAATTTCAAATCCTGCCTTGATTCTTGACTTGCCCTGCACGAGCATTTTTTTGTCCTGTCTTACAGGGTTTCTTTTGGCCTATCCCTGCACAGAGACAGACACCCTTTGATAATGCTCTGACTTTGTGAACTTTCAGGTCCCCCACTGTGTATTTGAATAGCTGTCCTAATTTTATTTCAAGAACTTCACTCTCAAGCAGGGTATGGCAGGTGATGTCCAGCCCTCTTCTGTCAGCAGTCCATTATCCACCCCCTTCTCTAACTGAGTGACAGACTGACACAACCCAATGGCCTTGGCTTTGTGGGAGAGATCCAGAAGCAGAGTATTTTAAAAAAAGATGAGAGCAAGGGACATAAAGCAGAGGAGTTGCCTCTGAAACAGTCAGGAACTAACCAGCAAAGTCCTGGAGGTCATTGTCTCTGCACGGTCCCACTGCTCCCAGGTGCTGTACGAGGATTGCCGGATGGTGGCTGTGAGTGCCCCGTACGTGGCAGGATTCTTGGCCTTCCGGGAGGTCCCTTTCCTGGTGGAAGCTGTTCAGAGACTTCAGCAAGGAGGCCCC